TGACCCTAGTGTGTTATACCCTGGTTACACTGTCTGTCTCCAGCTGTCTTTGCTGCTGTGCCGGCAATAAAGAGCAGTTTCCATTCTAAAAAGAGCCTGAATTCCTGTCTGCATTCTCACAGACCCCGTCTCGCTACAATATCAAATAATTACTAAGATTTTTCTCTGGCTTACCTTCTTAGTTATGGAGACCTTTTCTTCCCCTTGACGTGCCAACAATTTGGTTAACGAACTTTCTCCTCGAATTGCCTTTTTGCGTTTGTCTGAGTCAACTTGAGCTTGCAAGTCAAGTACAACTTGATTTGCCACGGAGACAAACGTACCAGGCTTACACACCAAACATTCAGCTTCCCGGTCTTCTCTGCCACTTCGAAAACAAGGAAATTTATTTTTTAGTTCTGCTGTGAATTTACACTTTCGCTTTAGCAATGTGTTTGAGGGTAGGAAAACGAGAAACAAAATAGGGAGCCTTTTGAGGGAATGCTTATGCTACTAGTAGTAGGCATGCTGCAGTTTCACTGATTATCCTATACTTCGATTGCCTTGATACAGAAGCATAATGACACTTAAAAGCAACTCCTACTCACAATATTAATGGACGACTTTCAATGTATTAGTTACACATGTGTACACTCTCTTCTTTATTGAGATGGACTTCTTAAATGGGTCTTCCTGCGAGAAAACGTAGGAACTTGTTATTAATATGCTATTAATATGCTATCTTCCGTAAATTACAAAATATATTGTTGTAGTCTATCTCTTTGCACTTTTCCAAAATAGGAGATAGTGAGGTTTCTACGCTACAGAGGATTCATTCCTTGGCTTCTGCAGAACAATCCGGCACGAACCTTAAGAGAAAAAGCAGAACTGTCTGACCGTTGCCATAACAACTGGACATCAAGTCCATTGCGTCATGTTTAGGAGCTCCATTTAATTACGTATTCACTATGACGTTCCAAATTGGAGTTACTTCCGCGTTCCGTGCATAGCAACAGGAGGACAGTGAAGATGGCGGTGTGCAGGGATCCAGAAAAATAACTTCAGAAAATTCAGTAATTTGTTTAATCAGAAGCGGCGAGAGAGCATTGGACTCCGAGAGCCCGAGTCCTCTTGGTATAACGTCCCATGGCGTCCCCTCATATCCGGATCGGCCACCAGGCCTTAGCTGTGCTGGATGTGGCTTTTCGAGTTCCCTGTATTTTCATTATCGACGCCATTTTTAACTCTTATTTTGATCCTGGGTCCGGATGGGCCATCACTGCTGTACGGATTTTAATTCGTTTTTTGGGTAAGGTGAATTTAAAGTATTAATGAAATGTCGTCTGATAGGGTGTGTGTCATCCTTTTAATTCACTCTTGCGTGTTGTTAAACCTGATCAAGCTGACCAGGCCACCTGTCAAACAGGAGCTCCGGCCTCTCGGTTTACTCCCTGCGGTTCCGATGTCATTGACACGCCGTTCATGAGTAGCCAACAGAGTCGAGAGGAGTGAAAAACTCCCCTGTGTGCTGTTTTGGATAATACCACTGCCTTTCTGCGCTTCTAATGTCTTGAGTTGAATAGTTTACGTTTATTTGTTATATCCCCGCGCTTCGTTTTGGGTTAACATTAGGAAGGGCAACAGCGATCGGATGATTTTAAATGCCAATAAGATTTTATAAAACAGGGAGCTCTTCAACTCTGTCGTCTTGAGCAAGTCTAATTTTCCTAAGAAATGAGTTTATGGACGGCGTTCTCAGTAGCATATGTTACTAGGACCGGATGTCCGATTTTCTTCATGTTATCCTTCAGCTGACTCTTGAAATATGCTTCAAACGGATTTCTGTTAGCCAGTTTATTTCCACATTTCCTTGAGTTATGGAGTCAGGTTTTCTTCCCATTCTCTCCAAAATCTGTATGGGTTAAAGCCCTGAAATATGCAATCGCAAATCTTAACTTTAAGAGCAAGTTTCATACTGCTGAAACGATGATTTACATTCTTTGTAAACATTAGGTTTGAGTTGTTTTATCACGCTTTCAGAAAAGCATTAGTTCATTGTTCTAGTTTTAGCAGACAATATTTGTTTAGTAGGAAATTAGATCGACAGTCCTAAATGTTAATTGTAACTAAACCATATAGGCTACAGTGAAAATCATAACTATCAGGACAGTAAAGTGAAATTAATCATTTTTGCTGTGTACTAAAAACGTGTATTTTGGATCAAAAGATTAATATGAGATCAAATCTGAATGTCAGTTTTGATTCTGGATGGTCTCGTATATACCCTTGTCTTATCACAAGAACATAGCAATTCAGATGACAGTTCAGGGAATACAGGCTAATGTAGTTAATCTGTGTTAAAGAGTGCCACCTCGATTTGTACCTGTCAAGTTCTAAAATTCCACTCTGCAAAACAGCCATCAGGCATAATATCATGTGTGTTACAACGTAACATATTGCATTCCAAAGTACTGCTTCCTTTTCTAGTGCCACAGCCAGAACATGTGTAGCTCTCAGTTCAGTTCATTCAGATTTTCATAAGGATATAATGTTGCATCATAAATCAAGTTAATTTTAATAATGTTGTATCATAAATCAAGTTAATTTTTTTCCTTTCTTTTCCAGGTGTTTTGGTATCAGGTGTTGTCCTGGTCTTGTCCCAGAGAGCGCTCTTTAAGTTCTACATGATCTTCTTTGCAGTACTTTTGGGAGCCGTCGCATTTCTGGTGAACTATTACGCCACCTCTCATATAGACTTCTACAGCGCTTACTATACAGCAGCATTAGGATTTAAGCTGCTTCCTCGTAGTGGACCCACACTATGGCTGGGCATGGCCACAGTCCAGCTTATGTTTGGAATTGGGCATGTTATGCTCCTCAATGTACAGTCAGTCTTTGCTGCACTAATTGTCCTAGACATTATGATCCCCATATGGGGCTTGATCTTGGAGTTGCCAGTGGATGTGAGACAGCTCCTGGCCATCATTTCAGGCTTGGTTCTTGTAGTGAACACAGTTGTCTGCTTACTTATGAAGATAAAGTGGTTCTATTACTCAGGTCGCTATGTGTACCTGCTCATCAGGCACATGTATCGCATCTATGGACTCCAGCTGCTGGTGGAGGACACCTGGAAAAGGATCCGCTTCCCAGATGTCCTCAGGGTTTTCTGGCTCACGAGACTTACAGCTCAAGCTATCATTCTGGTTTACGTTGTGAAAGTGGTGGACAATGAAGAAGGAAAGTGGAATTATTTGATCTCCTGGGATGCTTTCTGGGATGTTTTGTGCAACCTTATCATCAGTGGGTGTGACTCAACCTTGACAGTCCTGGGCATGAGTGCAGTTATCTCCTCCATTGCTCATTACTTGGGGCTCGGTATATTGGCTTTCATTGGTTCCACAGAAGAAGAAGATAAACGCTTGGGTTTCGTAGCACCGGTGTTGTTTTTCATTTTAGCTCTTCAGACTGGCCTTAGTGGCCTAGACCCTGAGGAGAGACTGGTCCGGCTCAGCCGAAACATGTGCCTTCTCTTGACTGCCATCTTGCATTTCATTCATGGGATGACTGATCCAGTTCTGATGTCTTTGAGTGCCTCACATGTTTCGTCTTTTCGCAGACATTTCCCTGTGCTCTTGGTCTCCTTGTGTCTGTTTGTACTGCCCATTGTGCTGAGCTTCATCCTCTGGCACCACTACATTCTAAATACCTGGCTGTTTGCTGTGACTGCATTTTGTGTAGAGCTCTGTCTGAAGGTCATTGTGTCCCTGACTGTCTACACACTCTTCATGATTGATGGCTACTACAATGTCTTATGGGAAAAGCTGGATGACTATGTGTATTATGTGCGCTCAACTGGCAATGTAATTGAGTTCATTTTTGGGGTGATCATGTTTGGGAATGGAGCTTACACCATGATGTTCGAATCTGGCAGTAAGATCCGCGCGTGCATGATGTGTCTCCATGCCTACTTCAACATTTACCTACAAGCCAAGAATGGCTGGAAGACCTTCATTAATCGGCGGACAGCAGTGAAGAAAATCAACTCCCTGCCGGAGGTGAAAGGAGGTCAGCTGAGAGACATTGAGGACGTCTGCGCCATCTGCTATCAGGAGTTTGCAACTTCTGCGCGTATCACACCCTGTCACCACTACTTTCATGCCCTCTGCCTCCGGAAGTGGCTGTACATACAGGACACCTGCCCCATGTGCCACCAGAAGGTCTATATTGAGGAGGACTCGAGAGACAATGGCGCCTTTTCCAATAATAATGGATATGTTGCCCCTAATGAAGACCCAGGAGGCATTCCAGCAGCAGAAGGGGGAGAAGCAGCTGCTGCTGCCAGGCCTGAGCCTGAAAACGAACTCCTTGAAGACAATGACAGTATTGAATATGATGAAGATGAATGGGGTACACAGAATGGTGGAATGCCTGTAGAAGAAGACTATATTAATGATGATACAGACTCAAGTGGGGAAGAATAGATCATATTTAAGTTAATCATAACAAATGAAACCATCAGGGACGTTTTTATAAGGGCTTTGAGAAGGGTAACATTTATGATGAGGTATATGATACAGTGTGCCTAGGTGAGAAATTGCAACCGAAACCTACACATTCCTCTGTTTCCTAGGGATGCAAATTATCCTGTCAATAGTTGTTCACTGAGAATTTTGAAAGGATTTTTTTTTCAGAAGCTATGAAAGTGTGAACTGGATATCTCTTGTTTTCTTAAAAAAAAAAAACAGGTGAACTGTGATATTACAAACATTATTTATTTTATTTGTATTTTTAACAGTGCTGATTAAGTATTAAAGCAAAATATCACATTGAGATCCAACTACTTATTTTCTGTAAATGGACCAGTGAAACAGAGATTCAACACAGGGGGAAAGGTTTAATTTAATGTGATGTGCTACTGTAACCACAAATATACCTCTTATCATTACTGCTGGTCTCTTGTGTGACCTTACTAAAATTGTGTACATTATTGTACATGCAATAAAATAAAATAGACTTTCTTTTCTTAATGGTCGTATTCAAATGACTGTTTTGGCAAACACTGTTTGAACACATCATAATGCAGAAAAGTTCCTTGTCAAAGAGCTAGAAGTATCATTCTTTGAACTACACAATATAGTTTAGTAGTAGCCTTAACATTTCAAATTAATAAGATCTTTGTTCTTTGAAGATGTCTCCCTACCTGCTAATGATAACAGTTTCACAAAAAATAAAGATGTTTTACTTTTATCATTAATACAACATTAATCTAATTTGAAATAGAAAATGAAATAACTGTATAATGAAGATCTTGCTGCTAAGATAGAACTGTATGGAGTTTTGTTTTTGGTTGTTTGAATTAATTATAAGGGAGAGGGCATTTTCCATTTATTTTGTAGAAGAGCTGTGCATTTTGACTCAGCAATTATGTTTTCTGATTAAAGTATTGTCGCTTGGTTTTCATTAAAACATGAGCTTTGTAGAGCTTTTTTTTTTACAAAAATTATATTTTCTGGTAATTCCATTCCTGCCACAAATTTGTTTAAAGATATTTATGGGATTGATGAAGTCAGAGAATTTCTAATACTATTATTATATGTTTATATATATTTATATATAAGGCAGGACAACTGAGCAGGTCTCTAAACACTTGATTATATGGTTTAATTTACCATCATTGACAAACTGTCAAGCAGGACACATCCAGATCTTTAGGTATTATTACCACACTTGTGAAAATTATTTGGACTATTAAAAAGGTTTCCATGAATGTAAGGTTTTTCGATTTATCTGTATTTTTCTAAATGAATGCTGTGTTCCTGTTACTTGGTGTTGTCTGATTTGTCTGTAGTCTGCTTTTCAGGTTTCTGGAGATTTTCTGTGGGAAAGCACGGACCATTTGATTTGTAGCAAACAATTCTACTGAATTGTTCATTCCCTAGGAAGCGATAATATGCATTTAAAATATCCTTCAATTACAGTAATGAGCAATGGCGTTAGGGAGTGCAAAAACTCACTACGGGGAAAAAAAGCATATTCAAATAAACATATTTGAATTATAATCTTTCCATAACCAAAATAACTTGAAGGACTTTAGCTGCTGACACATTAGATTTTTTTAAAAAGCAAAGAAGAGACTGAAGCCTACTTTAGGCATTTCATATCTACTTTAGACATTATACATGAAGATGGATTGCTATTTATATACACAATACACCAAATAGTTCTCAGACATTTTTTGCTGATGGTGGTGGGGTTTACAACAAGAACCTCTTAAAATTTGCATCTTCTACCATTTAGAATTCTTGATGATCCCTGTTGATATTTTAGTTAAATGTTCTTTTTTTTTAATTTAACCATTGTTTTTATTTATTCAAATGCAGTGCGGAGGTAATTGCAAAATACAATTAGAACTTTTTATTTAATCCTACATTATTTTATACCTGGATTATTGAATCCTGTTAAGAATGGTATGATTAAGAAAATACAGTTACAAATGAGAGTATGCCCTTCGTGACTGTGTGGTTGTGGTTTATTGATCCAGGGACCTGATCCTGCCCTTTCTTAAAGGAAACCAGGGTATTGGCTTCAGCCACATGGCTTGGTAGCATATTTCATACTACCATGACCCTTTGTGTTAAAGAAGTGCCTCCTGTTCTCAGTTTTAAATGCAGTTTCCTTCCTCATATAATTACTTTTTGTTTCAAAGAGCAGTAATATCTATGAATCTGTCATGGTTAAAGAGATGTCTTAAGACTTTTAAGTATTTAACTTAATTTAAGATTTACAACCTTAATTTAAGGTTTATCAGGCAGTAATGTCTGTGAACTGACGTCTACTGTATATACTGTAGATGTAAACACCAGTGTACAATTGGGTGAATTGTTTCTCTCAGCCAAAAGGAGGATGTTGGAATATCCATATTTCTAATGGATAGTGATTGTATTTGTGCTCTTAAAATCTATTGGTGCCAGAATACTAACCCAACAGGGTTACCATAAAATGAGGCTAGCTTTTTCAAAAGGAACAAAATATGATATTTTTCAACTTTATTTAATTTGTAGTGTCAGTCTATGATGTTATGAAGATAAAGAAATAAATGTAGGCCATGCAGATGAAATACATTAGCCTCTTTTTAATGAACCTGTGCTCCTTTTCCTACATAACTTAGATTCTGTTCATCCTCTGTGAAGTTGTGACAGTCATGGGGATTGTGATGATGTGACCTAGCAGATACCATAAGCTTTAAAAAAAAAGATTAAGAATAACATGTCCAAATGCATAACTAACATTAGGGGTGAAAGAAATGCTGTATTTTGCTCAGTTTTTTTTTTAAATTTGTATGACATTTAAAAATAAGTCTTATGTCTGTGATTCTGAGAAATGTTTATGATCCCTTACATTGTTAATGAAAATGTGCATCAGAAAACAAGCTACTGTACAAATGGTTTCTTTTTTAACAGTGCATTTTGGATACACTGTCCTTACTATATTGTTTAATGCTTATCAAATTAAAAATTGTTTGCAAGAGCTACAATTAACCACAGGAGGTCAGCAATGTGAAGACATGAAGCTTGATCAATAAAATGCTAAAAAAATGTCAGAAATTACTTGAATACATAAAGTAACATTATGATTGATATGTATTAAAGTATGTCAAGATTTCTGCTGAGTGACTTGCAATGTGGAGAAACAACATCGAATCCAGTGTGAAGTCCTGTTGGTCCTGAAAGGTATTTGTCACAGTCTGAGATTAATTTGTTGCTTTTACATTGTATTTTCCTTCCTACTGTAAGTTAGTACAGGAAAGAATTCTGAAGCCAGGGTTTGGATAAATTGTTAACTACAGACCTTAAATACTGCTCAATTAAAGACTAACAAGACGTATGCCCATGTCACAGGAATAGAGTACTGTCTGAATATGCTTTTGGTAACTTGATTAGAATGAGCAAGGATGGATAAATTAAGGGAGCCGAATAACTCTGTGCTCATAAACAAGTGCTTGTAAGGCCGTTGACTCTATGGTACTTAATGTGAAAAAATGTGCTATATGAATTAGCATTTTGCTTGAAAGTTGACATTTGGTAGCACTGTAGTAATGGAAGACTATTAGCAAAAGGAACAGTTAGCTGTACTGTTGGTACTGACAGAAGCTAAATATGAACTCATTTTTCAAAGTAATATTTCTGGTACTTAAATAAACGTTAAATTTTCACTTTAACCTGATAAATACTGTAGATGCAACACAATGAAGTTTGGTTTCCATTTCTTATGCTGTCATTAACTCGCGGAGTTTTGTTGGGTGATGTTTTCGGATTCTTCTAGCTTCTGAACATTCCAAGAGCACTGTTCCTGACCACGAGAGGTTTGAAGAATTTTAAACCTTATAAAGAGGTGTACAAAACCTAAGACTAATATCTTGTAAATCTGTAGTTTTTCTGTTTTGTTTTCTGTGCTTGATGCTTTCTAATAGAGGTGTTAATTTGTTTTGTGGGGTTAATATTTTATTTTAACACTGTTCTATTTTATATTTTCATGAATATATCATAAAGCAACACAAAGTAAAGCTGGTATGGGCTTGAAGTTAAATATCTCTGAGATAGTGGTGCCTTTCTAGTAAGGTAAGTCTTCAAACTGTAAATATAACTGTTAAGGGTGGTCTATAATGTATGTAAGAGTTCCTTGTCCACTGTGTTCTATATAATGCAGTGGAAACTGGGTTCTTCTAGTTTAAATGTGCAAATTGACAGAATAGAATACTATGGCTACATTTTTTATTTATATGTGAAAAGTAAATCTACAGTTTTGGGTTTATGTGACCTCACTTGTGGTAAAAAAAACAAATTCTGTAATTTAAAGTAACATTTCACCATCCTAGGTTAATGTATTTATGGATTTAAAAGTAATACATTATAATACATTTCAATAAGGACCCCCAGTGTAAGTATAAGATTATATATTCATACTTACATATACTTTATGTAGTACAAATAAAATTACTGATATAGTAGATATAACATCAGACCGTGATCTCACCTGCTCTCAGAAATGATCTAGAGTGTTGATTTTGCACAAGGCTGCTAGACCAGATTTCTAGCAGACAGCCTTTAGTTCGGAGTCTAAAGTACCTGGTTTCAGGAAACAAAAAAATGTAACTCCTTGAAATGTATAAAATAAATAATGGAAATATATTGTTTAACATAATCCACCTAGTTTTTTTTTCTTGTGGTAAATTAGTAAAAAGGCCAACCCACCCAAGGTTAAACTTGAAATTGAAGGGCGCTTTGAACCTGAGTGCATTTTGGGATTTCCTAAATAACTACTCTACTGAGGTGAAGTGAAGAGCAGATTCAATCAACTAATCTACCAGGCACATATAACAATATACATTCTTATTTAAGAACACTAGCAAAAACATTTAGGTGATCACGTTAGGACTACACTGCATCATAAAACATGAAAAGCAAGTGTTCATAACCTCTAAGGAGGAAGGATGTTGTTTAGATGTCACACATAATTTAAAATTGCCCTCAGAAATGCCAGTATTTGGAAATGGACTGAATTATTTGGGAATCTTGACAAGTAAGTAAAGATTTTTTAATATTATATTGATAGTTGCGTGTGAAGTCTTCTGTCTAGTGTCTGAATGAGCTGCATGCTATGGTCTTGTAAGGTGTTCAATTTGTACCATTTTTAGGAAACTTTAGACTTTTACAGAGACATCTCAATACCTTAAACTACAGTTTTTCTTTAGCTTTATAAAATATAAAAATCCAGGTTTTTTAATTACTTCAGAGGTCATATTTTTCACAATTAAGACGTTTTTACTATAAAATTAGACCACAGATCATGAGGACAGATAAGAACATGCAAGGTTTAAAAAAATGCAGTTAATTATGTATAGTTAGTGTTGGGTTAACCTGTCTGGCTGTAAATTCATTAGTGGAAGTAGTGTGGGCCCTGTTTAAATCAAATATTTAAGTGATACAATGATTGAAAGCTGATGTTTCCAGTGTTTTTTTTTTAAAAAGGCCAGGGTACTGGCTTGGATAACGTAGCTGGTTGGCTTGGTCCATACATATCCCTTTGAATGTAGAGCCTCCAACTCTCAATTTTTAAATATGAATAAATATGATGTTTTTGCAGGTAAAATAATTTTGACTAATTCCACTTTATGATAGTAACATGGAATTGGAAGTCTGTATGAATCAAGCAGAACAATGCTACAAATACAATATAAAAATAGAATGCATGAATTGTGCATACTCTACCTATTACATTACATAATATAGTTGGTCATTTCATGAAATTAAAAATGCAGGACATCTTCTAAAAGTGTAAATTATTTTCAAAAAAGATATATGGTTTCTGAATATGTATCATTTATAATGATTTTGTGTTTAAACAGGACTTGCATCAGTATTAAATACCGTAAGCAAAACAGTTGCAAGAAACGGATTCTGCCACTTCATCAGGAAAATGTCACTGTGGCCGGTGAAAAGATAATACGCTACTCAAGGTGGCAGCATTTACCTACTTTGTGTATATACTTGAAAAGGCCTTGCTTTCTCACCATAAAACCTAAGGACACATGCAAAAAATAATAAATTACAATATAAATAATTAATTAAACTTTTTATGTTTATATCTAAAGTTTAAATTATAATGTTCTCCCAATGTAAATGCAGAGGCGTTTGTTACATGAAAACTCAAAATACTACAACTCCCGTACAATATCTGCGGTTGAACTGCATTTTGGGATTTGTAGTCCACGTTATGCGGTTCGTACCTAAAACGTCTTTCTCGTAATGATTTGTAAAAATACATCCCCAACAATGCAGTTTCCCTTTTTCCACAGGGGGAGGTATGTGAAAGTACCGCTGAAATGTCAGATCAATAACAAGGGTTAGGGGGATTGGTTGTGTGCGAGTCACACCTGCCTCAGATCAGAAAAGAATGACCGTGCGTGAAGGTGTCTGAAACTAATTTTTAAACACAAAAGGGACAAAGAACGCCAAATCTGTATGAAATCGTCGGCTCTTTTCGCGTAAAATAACTACATCACGAGGAAAGCAGCAGACCCGAGCTAGTGGAAAGTAATCTTCAAAATGGGAAATGTTTCAGTTTGACTCATCGATTTTACCCCCTTTCACAGTTCTCTGGGACGAAGGATTATTGGTTAAATTTAGATTTCACCACGTTCAATGAACGGAGGCGTCATACATTATTCCATGCTTGAAGGAAATCTGAGATCTTCACGGGACGGCGAAATTTTCCAGGGTTGGGGCTGTTAAAATGGACTGCTGAGATCAGCCTGGTAGCTAGTTTTATTCGGAGAGGCGATATTACATGTATCAGTCGTTCTCTTATGCAACATGAACGCATCAGCCACCTTCGTATGAATTTATTGAATACCGGAAACTATATTCAGAAATCTTTATTAATTCTGTTAATATATGCAAATCGATGTTTCTTCTAAAGAAACAATAGCTAACGTCGAAAGGTTTTTTTTCACATGAAGAGTTGGACAGTTGGTGCGAAACTTCTGATGTCGGCTGCTTGACTGCAAAGGTAACAACTTATATACGTGTGTTATATATTCTTGTTTAAAATACTCAGTTCCCATGCTATTTGAATTGAGTGTCTGTAATCGTTAGGACAGTCGTAATACTGTACTGTTTTCTGTAACACGGGACAATATTGTACTAATTTTGACTAACTCCTAATTGCGTCGCTTTTAGATTCTGTAATATTTTTTGTCTCATAATTATCGAAATATCATACCGAGCCCATACCCATCTATGGCTGACTCCTTTTTTATTTCAGTTTTCTACACATCAACTTTGTGAAATCATCATGATACTCCCATGTTTGCGGAGAGCCCTGCGGCCCGTCGTCTCCATGAAGCCCGGACTGATGTCGGAGAGGGTCTGCTGGAACAAGTCTCCTCCAGTCCGCAAGCCTTTGCCCATGCTGTTGGTTCAGGGCCGGGACCTCGGCACCCACCCTCACAAGGAACCCATGGAGCCATTAAATTCTCCACAGGGAGCAAGAGAGTTTATATACAGCCTTCACCCCACCGAGCGGACCTGCTTGCTAAGAGAGCTGCACCGCTTTGAATCCATAGCGATAGCACAAGGTAGGCAAATAACGTTTTATGTGCAGATTTCATTGATCGTGGTGCAGCCATAAATAGCACTACCACTGTGCTGCCTATCGGAAGGTCAGCTGACATGCACCAGGGCATGCATGCACATACTTAACACAAATTGCAATGGAACATTTGCTTGAAAAAAAGCCTATACAGTGTGTTCAGAGCTCTGGAAAATAAACGTGTTTTGTTTTGTTTTTTTTTGCTGGAAGAAAAGCAAATTTAATCGTGTTGATTTGATTGCAGAGTTAAAAAATTACAGGAGTCTGCACCTCCATATTTTGATCCGCTTCCTTCAGCTGAAATACACATTAAAATAATATTGATTTACACCTGTATTGATTTAATGTCGGGTTTGGGGCATTAGCCAGTGATAGTGAGTGATCATTGAAACACGTGTGTGAAGTGCTGATGTCTGCTGCTATCTTGTGTGTTGTGATGTGATCTTCTGACTAAGGTCTTAACCCAGTTGCAGTCTGTGATAGTCAGCTGGACGTCAGGACTATGTGTTGTTTCCAGGAGATAGGGATCATGCCTATGCTTGAACTCCAGCTGAAAGCTTTTCTGCTGTAATGGTATGTGGGGGGTCCATCTCTATACTCGCCCAATTATATTTATAAATTTCAGTTTAACAAGAGATCTGATGTCAGACCTGTGGTCAGTTTTAGTAATTTAGTGGTGTATCTTCACTCCAGACAAGTATAGAACTAGGAAACTGTGAAATCTTTCAAATTTGAAATTTGTTCTTTTGAAATCTTTCAAATATACACAAAATTATTCTTATGAACTGGAATACCATGATTTTAATTTTAATTCTTGGGGTAGGAGTTATTTTTTAGAATCTCCCATTGATTAAGACTCTTAGGCCTAAATATTTGTTGTTGGGTTTTTTTAATTACCACCGACTCATTAACAGAGATTAATTCTCCTGAGATTTGAAGTAGAGAAATGCTGTTTGACAGTAAAGCTCTGCAAGAATGAATAAAATGGAAATCTCTGGACAAAACGTCTGTTTTAAATTTATGACAGTCTTTTGACTCAGGAAGGTTCTTGAAAGTGTTGAAAATCCTACAAGATTAGATTTTTTATGCTCATTAAAATTAAATTAAAAATGCATGGTACACAGATTTATTTTGTTCCAATTATTAAATCTCACTCCAAAGGGTTTTATCTTGTAAAAAATATGTGGTGTAACACTTAAATTCCCATATTAATCCACTGTGAAACTCTAGGAAGGAAAATCATAATATTAATCCCTTTGGATTTTTTCAGTGCCTGGTCATCAGTGGTGTAGCTGCAGCATTATTTAGGAAACTCTCTGTCATGGAAGCCAGCCACTCAGACGCAGTGTCTGGGAAATGAAGAACAACATTAATGGACTGTAACCTTGGCAAACCAAGCCAGTGTTGTGCTTCAGCTTTGTTGGGCCCATCCAAAAAATATTTATGTAGACAACCTGAGCTCCGGCAGTAGAGCTTGATTTTTGTGCTTTGAAGTCTGATAGCTTGCTCATTGTTTTTCTTAAACTGGTCCCAGACTAGTATTCTTACGGACAGAACTACTTGTTCTTATTATAGCACAGAGTCCCAGCATCTTACCTCTGAGCTGTCCTTTAATGAGCCCTTTTTGCATTACTTTGGGATTCTTGAAGTAGCTGAAGAGTAACTCCTGATGTTTCATTTACTTCAGTTGGTTATCTAGGTAGAGACACTGTGAACGCTGTCAGCTGTTGTACACTTTCAAGATGATTTAGACCACAAATATTATATAGTATAACAGCCTTAGAAAGAATTCAAAGAAAGGTGATATATCAGGAAATGTTTATATACAAGACAGATACAGAAGCTAAATCTATTCAGTCTGGAACTAAGAAGTTTGAGATTAGATCTAATCCATGTATTTGAAACCTAAAACAATAAACAGCTTGCTTAAATGGAACTGTTCATCCTTCTAAACCATTAAACAGTGGGATGATGGCCTCTTCCTACTTGCTACCTTTCATACATTTCTGTGTTCCAATATATAACTTTCCTGACATAACTCATATTTTTTATAAGGAGAGACTATATTAGGCTCTGTTAATGCAGCACTTCTCTGTTGCTGATATATTTATTTAAATGTTTTTTTTCTGGGGCAGATATTGCTTGCTGTGTCACTTGCCTGAACTTTACCTGTCCCAACTTATCTCATGTTTTAGACCAACCTTGCTGCCCTTTACTAATGCAGTTTTTTCACGGTTGTCATGTGTAATTGTTAAATTGCATTCTGCTGTGTACAAGCAGAACAAAGAAAGTCGAGTGTTGGTTAGTTGGGGTCTTTTTTGTGCAATTGCATCCTTCATGATTCCATTTTTGACAGTAAAAGTATCTTACCAAGGCTATATTATGTTTCAACAAACAAAAAAAAATGGCATTTGTATCAACTTAGATGCATGTCCTAGTTCTAAGTCTATGGAAGTTTTTTATAATCCCTTTCTTAACTGATAATGTTTTCAAATTCACACTTTTGTGTAAAGTAAATGTGTTACGTCAATCTTTGAAAAAGACCTTTAATTGGGTCCTTACTGATGCCTCCAGTATTGGTTGAGGGTGACTTTCAAGACTTTCCCTCAGAGGGATCTCTAACACAACCTCCTCAGTGGAAACGTATAGGCTCTAACATATTTGATTAAGCTAGGTGCACACTTAAAGGCAAACTGTGTAGATCAGGTCATAGACTCAGTCAGATAGGGTGAATCCTGAAGCTTCTGACTATAGTCACCCAGGAGCTGCAGCACAGTTAAAGGGAGGAACCCCTATATGACTCATGAAGGTACATTCTAGGCTGCGTACGTCAGTCTTTTGTATAATTTGGTTGCTGCTTCCTTTGTTCTAGCAGAGAGATGCATAGACTTAAATACTTAAATAAATGAGCTGAGATTTCCTCAAATGAAAAATAAGGTTTCAGTCATAACCCTGCTTGTCAAGTTCAAAAGTGTCTCGTCTGAGGAATAAATATTATTACACCACCTGAGCAACACTATTATCACCTTCAAAGCTTTGGTTCAATAAAGGTTCCATTTCCAGCATTTCACAATATTCTTATTGTAGTATGAGGCATTGTGATTTAAACTAGTGAAATTAGTCATACTGTACTTTTAAAGCCCTGTTTAACATACTGTGAATGGATGCTGATTATATTCCATTACATTTGTTTCTAGAGCTGAATGTAGAGGAGTCTGAAAAAATATGTCTATTATTATAGACATTTCTCACCATCTTTCATTGTTTGTTTCATGGACTACAAGTATTATTTCTTCAGTCATACAGCAGGCTTAAGGCTTCAATATAATTCTGATTGAGTACATGACAGAGCACAAAAAATGTCAAAAATTTAATGTCATTTAAACCTGACTGGACCAAGAAAGGTACACAACCATGTGTAAAATGAAAGCTTTAAAAGCTGTAGCAAAGCATTTTTTTAAGATCAATGACAAGATAAGTTGAGTGGTTTTATACTGCTGTGTAGAAGTCTAACTCAGTATACGTAGGATATGAACATAAACAATTTGATAAATTTGTTTTCTACTGTTCTGAATAACTTTTGCCGTTATTTGTTCATGTTGATCAGAATCCTCAAAGACATGATCATGGTAAAGAACATGTGAGCACCCAGTGCGAATCGAATGTGATCGACTAATTCTCTGATGCTGCTCTTTTTTTCATCCTCTGTATCCACCTATAAAGGTAAAAGGCTGTTTTTTAATCTACAAAATAGATATAAGGATTAAGCACAATCTCAAAACATTGGCTAAAGTTTCAGTAAAGACCCCAGTACAATTGTGTTTATTATGTACAGAAGGAAATCCATTTAGTCGGAAGAACATTGTAAAATGCCCAAGAGTCACAGGTTTGCACAGATTGCAAAAGTGTTATGTTTACGTTTTGTTTCTCTTCCTGCACCTTAAATGTAATCAGTCTGGCATGGGCCTGATGACATCTTCAAATATTCTAAAAGCAAGGTAGTTAAAGCCATTTACTTAAGGCAGATTAGCTACTGATAAGATATGAACTACAGGCACTAGAGCAGTAAGTGCTTATTTGAGGTTTGTAATGCATTAGTAATCACAGCCCTTGAATACATTTCCATCCCTACAACAGCTAAAAGCCTCCCTCTCATCAAAGACTTGCCTGTCTAGATCACACAGCTGGGTACCATTGGATTGTCTTAATTGGCGGCTAGTAATATGCATTCAAGGAGTTTTTAATGGAAACGGGGGAATGCAGTGTTTGCTGTTGAGGGCCATTACATTATGGTGCCTAAAAATACTTGCTTACATAATGACGAAAAACAATGCACATTTTCTTATTTTCCTTTTCTTGTGTTTCACCAGCTCTTATAAACAAAATATTGATCTTCTTTGATCGGTAGCCTGGGTATCTGTTCTGATTGAGGATCTCTCAATAAAGCAAACTTTGTGGCTAGTAAAATGCTCATTGGATTTGTGTGCTGAGTCATTTTATTTTTTGAAAACCGTGCTCGATATAGAGTCTGAAACCTAATTCCTTAAGTACCTTGTTTCATTTCTTTTTTGTTTCACACCATCTCACATAGTTGGTCTAATTGATTAATTAGAAATCGTATAATCAATGATTTATAGATAAGAGCTGCTTGAAGTGATTGTTTTGTAATCAATTACAAATAATCTTAGGAGCAATCGTATATGTAAAACTTAGGAAATAATTAGATTGTTCTAAACTGAATAGTTTCAAACAAAAACCAGAAGACAAAGTCTTCCAGGAACTAATTCTGAGACCTCGGTTGTTTGTAAAGATTCTACAACATTATATATACTGTATCTTTATATCCTGGATCTGAAGGAGATAGTAAATTGTTTCACAAAGTAATGAGCGTGCACATGCTGTATTTGTGAGATGTATTGTAAAAGTAAGCTTTTTTTTCCATACAAGGCTTTTGTAATTTCCCCACTTTCAACTCTTCAGAGGCTC